GCAGCTTGGTGGTCAGGACGCGCTGGGAGAGACTCTGAGGCCTGGTGCTGAGGACAGGGTGGGGTGAGGCTGGACAGCCTTGGGGGTGAGGGGGCTCAAGGGGCGGGGGCTCACCTGGGGCTGGAGCAGAAGCGCTTCACCAGGAACTGGGACAGGTCCTGAAGGATGGGCTGGCTGTGCAGCCTGACAAACTGCTCCCTGCACACCTGTGGGGCCAGGCGTCAGCGGCTCCCATGGCCCCCGCCAGAGGGCCCGCCCCAACATGGAGGGTGAGGTTCCAGGGCCTGGGCCCCATCCTCTCTGCGGGTGGGGACACATGGGGACTAGAACGGGGCACACCTGATTCATGACGGGGACATCAGCTGCGTGGGTCCAGAAGCAGTCGTGGACGGAGACGAAGGTCAGGCCCTTCCTGCACAGTGTAGAGGGCTCCTGGGGAGGGTGCCCAGCAGGGCCAGGCCAGAGCCCAGAGCCCAGTCCTGCCACACCCCATAGCCACTGCTCTCCTCCAGGGGAGCCTCTCCTCCTGACCCCACCATGGCCCTCCCTAGCAAGCCAGCCCAGCTACCCCTGCCATCCTCCAGGTGTGGGGATGCTTCTCAGAAAGATGTGTTTCCCCACATGGCCCATCCTCAGTCCCTTTGGGGGTGGCTGACACCACTTGATTGGGCTCCACCAGAGGCCTGTCCCCCTGGACCGGGCATGCCGCACGGTGTACATAGTAACCTGAGTAGAGACACAGTCTCCGTGGCCCCTTATGTCAGGGGCCCTGTAGCACGACGGTCCACACCTGCTCCTGGGCCTCTGCCTGCCTCCCGCGTGGCCCACGGTCCCCCAGAAGCAGCTTCTCCTGTCCCCACAAGACCTGAGGGATGCCTCGCCACATCCCAGACGTGCACCCCACTGTCCCACAGGCTGTGCCAGTATAGCCCCTGTGCCCACCTGTAGCAGTGCAGCGCGGTCAGCATCATGTGTGTGGAGTCCAGAGAGTGGATGAAGTTGGGTGGGAAGCCATTCTTCTGCTTAAGTGTGTTGGGCTTCCTGGAGGACAGGGGAGTGGGTGGGGTCAGGGGCCAGACCCTGGCCAGAGCCCACCCGGGCACCGCCATCCCCACCCGCACCCTCCTGCTCCCTCTCACTGGCTGGTGTCCCGACTGCTGCTGCAGGTGATGCTCTGGAGCCCACCTTTGACCTGCAGGGGAGGGGCTGTGAGTACTGTCCAAGTCCAGGCCGGACTGGAGTGGGCAGGGAGGCGGTAGTCCACCTACCAGGAACTTGGAGTCATGGTGATAGGGCTGGATGACAGGGATGCCCAAGGGTGTGACCCACTCCACTGCCCAGCCCGCCTGGGAGATGAGGCGGGCACTCTCGGTCAGCCAGTGCTGTGGGACACAGGCACTCAGATAGGGCCAGTGCACCTCCTCAGGGATGTGCGCTGGCCAGGGGGGCGCGGGGACACACCTGGATGGCCCGAGTGCTTGAGAACATCTCCTGCAGGCTACTGAACACTTGCCGCACCAGGTAGTGGGAGGCGTCCCACACGAACTCCTGGGGGCAAAGCGGGCTGTGGTCACCTTGCCTCACCCCTCAGATGGGGAGACCCGGGGGGCAGAGGAAAGCAAGGCCTCTGGCTCCTGGGTCCGGGTGGGGAGGGCCCGTCCACAGGCAGCCTGCACACCTGGGGGAAACTGTCCAGCTCCCGGAGGCGCTTCTCAATCTGCAGGCGCCCACCATAGCGGGTGACCCCGTACACCACCGTCATCACCGTCTGCTTCACTACTTTGCGGCTGATGAAGCCCTCGAGAACCTGGGCCACCCGCACACCCCGGGCAGCATCCTGCCTGCGGAACACCTCCACCTGGGCCAGCAGGGACAGAGAAGCACCACTCAGGCAGCCCACGAACTGTGGGGCCCCAACACCCCTGAGAGCCCCAGAGTCCAGCCTCCACCCCCCCAGTGGCCTGCCAGGCCCAGGTGCTCACAGGTCAGTGACCTGCCGCACCCAAGATCCTGGGTGGGACAGTGCCAGGGGCCTAGGCACCTACCTGTGCAGCCACCCCACTGTACACATCCTGTGGCAGGTCTGAGGGCAGCAGGTTGACAGAGGCGGCACCCACGCTGTCGCGGCCCAAGGCGGCGTAATGCTGCAGACCGTTACAGGAGCCATCCTGCAGGGGGCGTCCGTGAGCTGAGACCCCAGCAACACATGCAGGTCCCCCAGAGAGCACAGCTCCTGGTGTGACCTCAGTGTCCCAGCACTGAGACAGTCGTCACCCCCTTCACACTAGGGAGGAGACTGAAGCTACACACCAAGGCCAGCTGGCCCCGGGGCACCTTGCTCAAAAACCTCACTCTGCAAGGCCAGGGAGGAGCACCCCGAACTAGGCCCTGGCCACGTGCACCCCAGTGGGGCACACCATCACTCACCTGGTGCACGGGCAGGTGGGAGATGTAGGCAGCAGGGTCTGGGGCCCGCACAGCCTGCGCCACTTCCATGCAGCAGGCCAGCGTCTGCCAGGGCTCCTCAGACTCCATCCACCACTTCCTACCCTGCAGGGCACAGAGGAGCAGGAGGTCAGGCCAGACTCAGGTCAGACCCAGGTTGGGCAGGCTTGGGCTAGGGACGGAGGACAGCGAGGAGGCTGTGGTGGTGCTGGGCAACCCCTCACCGTCATGGGCTGGTCAGCAGAGTCCAGTATGTGATCCATCATCTGGTCAGCGAAGGCCAGGCGGGCCTGTAGTGAGTCCCTCTTCCGGAGCCCCGTGAGGTTGACCAGGTGGATCTTCAGCCAGGTGAGGCCATGAGGGCCCAGTGGGCGGCCCTCAGCAAACTCCAGCAGGGCCCGCGCCAGGTCACTGCCCAGGTGGTTGAAATGGGGCGGGCAGGGGTAGGTGCGGCCCCGGAAGTCCATGTTGTGGGGCAGCCAAAAGATGCGGTGCCGCAGGTGCTGAGCCAGCGAGAGGCGGTAGAGCGCGTCCACACGCAGGCTATGCATCTCGCGGGCCACCTTCAGGCAGCCGGCCAGCTCCCGTCGCAGCTCTGCCTTGTGGGCAGGGGATGCACCACGGGGTAGGTGGCCTTCCCGAGGCCGGGGTGCTTCTGAGGGTGGTGGCGGCACACCCAGGCGGGAGCAGCCCTTGTCCCTAAAGAGCTCTAGCACCAGGTCCAGCACACGCCCGTTGACGCGCCAGGCACAATTGCCCAGCTGGGTGAGGGTGTCCAGGGCACCATGCAGGTTGGTGGGTGGGCAGCGCTCAAGCAGGCGCTGGTGCTGTGTCGTGCCCTCCACTGCTCGCATCAGCTTGGTAGGACTCAGAAGGAAGGCGCCAGTGTGCGGCGAGGTCCAGGGCAGTGGGGGGCACAGCATGGGCACGTCCACTGTCTCGAAGGTCAGCGTGGGGTCCGCTGCGGCCACCAGAAGCTGTGTGAAGGCGGGGTGTGGCTTCAGGATGCCAATCTGGGCAAAGAAGCAGGTAGTCAGGGCTGATCCTCAGTGTCACAAATGTCACTTTCCTGCTGTTGACCCAGACCCAACTGAGGGGCCTCTCCTGGTCAGCTGCTGCTGGCTCAGCCTGATCCCAAGGCTGATCTGGTGTCTGTGAGCAGGTCCTGCAAGCCAGATGCCCCACTGCCCTGGAGGCTCTGCACGGCACACAGTGCTACTGACCCTAGCCAGGTCCCCAGGACCCCGGCCCTGCACCGCCCAGGCTGCTCCCTCTGGCTCCACCTCCTCAGGCAGAGGCAGGTGCAGGTCTGCAGGGCCCAGGGGCACCACCCACCTGGCGGTAGCTGCGAAAGGAGTAGACATGGTACAGCACAGGGATGGGCCTACAGGAACCCTGGGGCACGGCGAGGCCGAGGGGCATGTGGACGGCCTGCACCAGCATCTCGGCCAGCTGCTTGCCCAGCTGCATAAGCACAGGCAAGGGCCAAGGTTGCTGTGGTGGGGCCTCGGGCGGCCCCAGCGACTCCCAGTACTGCCGAGGTAGGCAGGGTGAGGCCACCTGTGGGGTTGGGGAGAGCTGGGCTGTAGGGTCGGGCCTCACTGGGCCCTGGTCTGTCCAGCTGGTGGGAGGGGCTCATCTCCATTTCATGGATGGAAAAATGTATTTGGGGCAGCAGGCTCAGGGATGGCCCGCGGGGACTCACCTGGGTGTCACAGGCCAGCAGGTGCAGGTACTGTGCGTACCGCTGCTCCAGCGCCTGCACCTGGTTGTTGAGGCGCTTCTGCTGCACCATGTGCCTGTTGAAGGTCCGCAGGCCCAGGTCCTTGGCCACCACCACCAGCGACTCGCCCTGGGCAGGCAGTGCGTAGAGGGCCTGGGGGGGGCAGCTGTGAGCCCACGCCCTCCCCAGCGACCCCTGCCCCAGAGCAGTGCCCACCTATAGGGGAGGTGGCTGTGAGCCCACGCTGCCCCCCAGCGACCCCACCTGGAGCAACCCCCACCTGCAGCAGCATCCGCACCAGCTCCCGCTCGCTGAGCAGACACAGGAAAGGGAAGAGCGAGGGGCGGCCCTCATGCGCCTGGTGGGCCAGACTGGCCTTGGTCTCCTGCAGCACCCTGCGCAGAGCAGCCTCCCACTGTGCACGCAGGGCCTTCAAGGTCTTCCGCTGCAGGGGGACGGCACAATCATCACCACCGCAGGGGCCAGCAGGACCCTGAGCTTGGCTGGGTTGGGACAGCCTCTCAGCCAGGAGACCTTCAATGGCTCCTCACCCTGGCTGTGCAGGCAGGGGGTTTCAATAGAGGAGGCCCAGAGGGGAGCCTCCCTGGACTCTGCCCAGCAGCCGAGGCCCAGGCCCAACTCACACCCCTCACCACAGGGCAGGTAGGGGACAGAGCACACAGGCCCCAACACCCTTACCGCCTGCAGCATCTCCTTGGTCAGTGATGGGGCCTTCTCCACAGACTGGATGTAGACACTGGTGGTCAGCTCCACATGGAGCTGCTGCTGGAAGAGGTCCTTCAGGGTCTGCAGGGGTAGGTGAAGCTTCGGGTAGGACACAGGGCCATCCTGCAGAGCACAGACAGCATGAGGGCCAGGCCCTGCCGGGCCAGCAGCCAACACCCTACCTTGCCTTTCCAGGAGGCCCTCGCCTGGCACAACCCCAGCTGAACCAAATCTACAAGCCTGGAGCTGTGTGGACGTGTGACCACCCCAAAATAGCTGCATTTAGAGCAGTGACTAAGACCCAGAGCCCCAGGAAGCCAAAGCACGTCCACAGACGTGTGCAGTCACGAGGAAGGGTCCACAGCAGCCAAGAAGTGGGTGAACCGACACGGTCCCTCCCGAGTGTCTTTGGCCAGGGCAGGAGAGAGGTGACACAGCTGCAGTGGATGGACCTAGGACCTGGTGCTCGGTGAGAACCAGACAAACAAGGCCACAGCGTGTGACCTAGTGACATGAGAGTCCAGGACAGCAGAGTCCAGAGACCGGATGGACTTGTGGGGACAGGTCTCCTTCAGGGGTGACAAATGTTCCCAACATTCTGTCTCTTCTAGACAGAGGTGGAGGCTGCATGAGCCAAGGCAGAACACCAGCTGAATCCCGCTAAGGGTGCACGCGTGGCGCACGCGTCAGACCTCCACGAAGGCACACCCGGCACACGTACATGGAGACTCCACACAGCCCTCCTCCTCTGGGCCTGAGTGAGGCCTGGCTAGGCTTTTAAATGCCCATTGAAATGGCATTTCCTGACCAATAGGGGTAGGTGCAGCTTCCGATACCCAGTGACCTCCCTGCCCCCTGCTTCTCATGGTGTGTCCTCCCCCACACCTTCTGCCTGCCACCCTCAAGGTCAAGGTCCCCTGAGCCCTGCCAGGCCAGGTCCCTCCAAGCTCCGGTTCTTTCAACCTCTGTGGAGCAGAGGGATGGAGCTAGAGTGACAGCCAGGCAGCTCCCAGAGGCAGGTGGTGGTGGGTGCCAAAACAGGGCTGATATCAAGGGGACTGAGGCTACCCCAGTACCCTGGGTCCACGTCCACTCACATGTGGCCTGCTGTTAGCTGTCAGGCCCCAGCCCTGGGCTCACCTTGGTGTAAACACCCTTGAGCAGCGTAGAGGTGTTGACCTGGGGTGGGGGCTGTGGCGGGGGGCTAACTGTGGGCTCAGCCTTGGCCACAGCCTTCAGGACCACGTCCCGCTCCTCCTTGGACAGAGACACCTCTGTAAAGAGCTGCTGCAGCTGCAGCCCATCCCGGGCCATCTGTTCCAGACACCTGGGGGTGAGACACAGCAGGCAGCTGACCCACACGGGGCAGCCAAGTCCCACATCCCCGGAGCCCAGAGGGCACCTTGCAGCCACTGCCCAGTCTCCCATGAGGCCTCTGCGTCCCACCAACACCTACCTACCTTTTGACTGTGTTGGTATCTTGGTCCAGCCGCCCCATGCACTGGAGGGCAGCCGCATAGGACAGGAGGTCTGGGGTGAGGCCAGCATCTTTCACCATGAAGAACACATAAACCAGCTCCTTGAATGAGCCCTGGGCACACCAAGCGGGGGTGAGGGCCCGGGATGCCTACCTCCCGACCCTTGGCTTCCTGAAGACCCCTCCTCTGTGGCCAATGACTAAGGAGAGGGCTGCACCACCAGACCCAGTGACCAGCTGGATGGACAGATGGGTCCCGCCCACACTGCTGTGCCTGGGCTCGAGGTGCAGGATGGCCAGAAGTCGCAGCCAGCTGGGAGGACCACAGGGGGTTCGTGTCCCCGGGGCAGCCTTGAAGTTGAAGGGTGTAAATGTACTGATTTCAGGGCTGCTGAACACTGACCCCTTCTCTGGCCAGCCTTGGTCTTTCCAAAGGACTGACGTCTGGCTCTGCTGATGCTCTCTCTCCTCCATGCCACCTACTTCTGTCCCCACCTTTGTCACTGCCTTGGTCCTCCTGCTTTGGGTCTGGCAGCAGCTGCTGTTTCTCACTTGCTAAGGTGGAAGGCTGTGCTACCCACTGACCTGTGGCCCTGCGGCTTCCCTGGGGCACTGCCTCAGCAGCCCACAGACGCACAGGCACTTCTGTCCGTCCCGGGAGTGTTCCAGTTTCTCTTAACGCTCCCTGATGCTCTGCCTACCTAGGAATGCCACTCAGACCCTTCCAGAGGGGAACAAGTCCCCAGCGGCTTCCCATTTTACCAGGTGCTGCTGCTCTGACCTGTGGGTGGTCATCAGAAGGACCAAGCGGGCTGCCCAATGTGACAGTCCCCAGCCACACACAGTCATCTGGTAAACGCCCAGCTCTTCAGTAATACAGGCCACGTTCTGAGGACTCAGCGACCTAGTGCATCCTGGTGACGGGCGAGGGACCCCCCAACACCACGGAAGTCCTCAGTGGTGCTGGTCCAGATGGGTCTATTCTGCCCCTTGTTTCTTTTGAGAGGGTCTCACTGTGCTGCCCCAGCCCGTCTTAACTCCTGGCCCAGGCCACCCCGCCTTGCCCTCCCAGGCAGCAGGACCACGGCCCAGGTCCCGGCACCTGGCTTGTACCCCTTTCATTGTGAAATCACCCCTCATGAAATTTCAAGTATCTTCTCACCCCCGCCCTCAACACACTCGGGAGTGTGCAGCCCAGAGCAGACCCCACCTCCCAGAGTCTGGGGAGGCTCCTTCCCCATCTACTGATGAGGCCCTGCGAGGGGAGGTGGCAGGCTGTGAGCCACCCAGGGAGCAGGCAGGGCAGCGGGACTCAGATCCTGGAAACCGCGGTACCGTCCCTGGTGGCCACCCAGCAACAGCAATCACTAGGGAGCAAGGGAAACACAAAGTACGCGGCACACATCACTGCTGCCCCGGACACCCACGTTCACCCACGTTCACCCAGAACCTGGGAAGGAGGGCTGACTGGAAACGAGACTCTTGGCAAGTGAACCACCTAAGACCAGGAGGCTGTCCTGCACAGAGGGACCTAACTTAGGAAAGGGCACACAGGATGTGACACCACGGACTGCCAGCCACTGACCGAGGGGCAGACCCCTGGAGGCAGCACAGCCTGGTGCACCCCTGATCTCACCTCTGGGCCCCAGCACTGGGAGAGCTGGATTCCTTTTGTTCTAAGCCACCAAGTTCATGAGACTTCCTTACAGGAGTCCCGTGGCGCTCGCCCAAGGGCTGATGACGAGAAGCCTGCTTCATGGGGCTCCTCGAGGGACCAAACAACTCGTGACTCCGAAGGGGAACAGCAGCCACAGGCTCAGCACGCTGCGCAGCCAAGCGCCCACGCCTAGGCACGCAGGCCTGGGACACAGCGCCCGCCAGGGCTTCCAGATGCTACTCTCGACGCGTCAGGATGAGGCACACACCAGATTCCCTGGCAGGCCCGCCCCGACAGGACAACCGATTTCCTCCCTCCCCTCAGGGTCAAGACCGGCTCCACCACCACCCTTGGAGGACAGCTTCCGCAGCGGGACACAGCTGGGACCTACCCCGAAGAGGTCTGTGGCAACACCCCCCAGCCACAGCCAAAGCCACCACGGGGCTGAGAACTACCGCGAGAAGGACAAGATGGGGAGCAGCAGAGCCTCTCCCAGAAGGCCACCAGCCACAGCACCTACGCTGAGGAGGCCTCACCGTGCCACCCAGCCTCACCCCGCCACCCAGCCTCACCCCCACAAGAGCGGGCACCAGGCGCCACCCAGAGACTGGCTCTGTGGCCCACCGCCAGGCCCAGGCAGACCCGCCAGAGCTCAGTGGGCACAGAAGCCTCCCTCTCGGTGCTCAGTCACTTTCAGGGCCTCGGCAGAGACCGTGCTCTGTGTTTGAAAGGCCCAAGTCAGTGCACAAGGCAAGCACTTGAACTTGAGCTAAAAGCCAAAGACTGGAATCCAAAGGAGGTCATGCCCCCACTTGGGACCTAAGTTTCCATCCTGACCAGTGAGGTCCCCTGGGGAGCCCTTGTCCCCTGTGCAGGGACCCCCTCACCTTGCGTGCCCAGCCAAGCATGACGGTGTTGTACATGGGGAGTGTGAGAAGCTTCTGCATCCGGGGCCTGCTGTGGTGACTGACCAACACGTGGTGGGCGAGGGGCAGGTGGCCACTGACCAGACAGCACTCCAAGAACGCCAGGAGCTTCTGTTGCTGGCCGGAGAGCTGTGCCTCTCCCTCCTTGTCCAACGGGGCCTGCTTCTTGTGGAGGAGTTTCTGAGGGGCTTCCTGCAGCACCTGGGCCAGCTGTTCCTCCCAGGGGCTCTCCTGTGCCTTGTGCTGCAGGAAGCTGGACAGCTGCCCACTCATGAGCCGGGGCTCCACACGCAGTGGACGGGGTTGCAGCTTGTTGACCAGCTGCTGGGCATGCGCCTGCAGTTTCACCTGCAGCCGCTGCTTGCGCTTCTGCATGGTCCTCTGCTCCTTATTCAGCTTTTCGGCCCAGCGGCCGCAGGGCTGCACCTGCGCCTTCCTGGGTGGCTGGCATTCACCTTTTGAGAGTTGAGCCACCTCTACTCTCTTCACGGATACCTCCGACACGCTCTCTGCCTGTAGCTGCCTCACCCGAGCCTCCAACACTGTGGGGCAGAGAGGACCCCCATTTAGTGCCCAGCTCACCATATCCTTACGGGACTGCAACGGGCAGGGCACCCGAGGCCTCCATTCGGGGGATATGCTCGACTGTCCAGCTTCCCTGGCTGCCACCCACATCACCTCTCCCCAGAACCTCCCAAACTCGGCCTGGAACACAGTGGCCTTGACCCCGAACTGCCCATCCCATCATGCCCACTGCCTGGCGACCACAGCCTTCTGTGCTTCCTGCCTCATGCACTCAACTCCCCATGTCTGTGCTGGCCCTAACCAGGCAGTGGCTCTGAACGTGGATAGCAAACACTGAGCCACTGCTCCCAGGGAGGACACAGGCCAAGTTGCTCTGGCCACATTTCTATTACCTGACCACCCATAACTCTGCTCTACAGATTTGTTTAGAGACCTCACTTCTCTAACTCACGGACTGCCCATCGCAGCTCTGTGCCCAGGACCACTCTAAACAGCAAGACCACCACCAAAAAGAGCACACACCACAGGGCACCAAACAGACCACAAAAAGGCCTCATTTTCAGTGGGGGCCATTACGTCCTCCACCTCAGCTGGGGGTGGGCACACTACATGACCTGCCTCTTGTGACCCTGGACTGGTTTGGGGTTACCAATGAGTTTATAAGTGCGTGGATCCATTTGTAAATATCAAGGACCAACCAGGTCTGTCCCCTGCCTCAGGTGCCTCAGCAGAGAATCAGATCAGAGTCCCTGCACGCAGATACACAGCTGCGGCAGCACATGGCAAGGGCCTGGTGCAGACGTGTTGAAGTAAAATGGAAAACCAGCATGATTTCAGCGTTTGGAGTGCTCTCAGACTCAGGAGCCACTGTGGAGTGTGCATGGCTGGGACAAGCTGAGGGAGGGAGATGGCGGGACGTGGGTGCACATGCCTCCTAAAGCAGCAGCTGGGCTGAGAATGGGAGGTAAGAGGCACTGGGATAGGAAAACCGCAGATGAAAAAGCCCTGAGGCAGGAGTATGGCCTCAGCAGGAGGAGGGTCCATCGCCCACAGTGTGGGGTTGACAGAAGGATCACAAGTTCAAAGCCAGCCTCAGCAACTGAGATCAAGTCTCAAAATGAAAAATAAAATGGGCTAGGGATGTGGCTCAGTGGTTAAGCACCCCTGGGTTCAACCCTCAGATCCAAAAAATGAAAATAAAATAAAGTAACTAGACAGCTAAGAGAGGAAGGGTTGCTGTTCCACATGGAGGGTCACAGTACCTGTCCTTACGTTTGCAAGCTAGACTATTCTGCCATGACAAAGTTCTTTTCACAGGCTCCCTTCCCCTCCTGCTGCCTGCAGGACGTGGATGGAAGGTGGACCAGAAGAGAACAGAAGGGCAGTGGCCTGGGCACCCTGCCAGATCCATCCCATCACCCAACCCCAAAAAGCCAACATGGCAGCCCAGGGTTCCTGTCCCAGCTCACACTAAGCCATGTGTGGTGCTAGGCACCGCCCCAGGGTGATTTGTGGCTTGAATTGTCCCCCTGGAAGTGGGAGCCCCTGGTGAGATTCTGGGGTGCTCCCAGAGCTGGCTCAGCACAGACTGAGGCCTGGCAGGCCATGTGGGGGGCTCTGCTAAACCAGCACCACCCATAATGTGGGCACTGACTCCGCTGCCCCTGGGGACCAGTTACCCCAGCATACAGCATGAGCCTTGGGGGCTGCTCTGCATACTGTGGAGCCTGTTTCCTCTTTTGGGGGGTCACTGGGAGCCAGGGGAGACCCCAGGAGAGTGGCCAACAGGGGGTTCTGTGAGGAAGGGATTTCAGCCCCCATGTCAGGGTCCCAGCTCACCCTCCAACAGTTCTACATGGCCCCAGTCTTTCCTGCGATCCTGCTCACAGGGGCTGGCTGATGAGCTCCTTCTGGGGCCCCAGAAGCCATCGAGGGTCCCTGGGGAGAGAGGAGAGAGGTTGAAGGGTCCCAGGAATCTCAATGGACAGAAACCACAGAATCAAGGGGTAAAGGGTGCCAAGCGCAGTTGTAAACCAAGCAGCTTGGAAGGTTGAGGCAGGAGGATCGTGAGCTCAAAGCCAGCCTGAGCCACTTGGCAAGGCCCTAAGCAATTTAACAAGACCCTGTCTTTAAATATTTTAAAAAAAGACTGGGGAAACTGGGCGCGGTGCACGCCTGTAATCCCAGCAGCTGGGGAGGCTGAGGCGGGAGGATCGCGGAGTTCAAAGCCAGCCTCAGCAATGGCGAGGTGCTAAGCAACTCAGTGACCCTGTCTCTAAATAAAATACAACACAGGGCTGGGGTGTGGTCCGGCGGTGGAGTGCCCGAGTAGCTCCGCGCTGCTGGGTTCGATCCTCGGCACCGACCGACCGACTGTAAACTCGGTGCACAGTCCCCACGAGCCTCGGCCTGGAAGGACGCCAGGCCAAAGGTGGGAGGGGACCGCACACAAAGTCGGGGCGCGGACCCAGAGTTCGGAGTTCTGAACTAAAGGCACCGAGAGTTCCAGGATCAAAAGCCCCGAGCCCTAACCGGGGTCAAAGGTCTAAGTGCCTGTGGCCTCCGCGGGGGAAGGTGAAGGTGGTGGGTCACCGCCGCGCAGCAGAAGCGGGCCGTCGCAGCGGGCTTCCAGGCCTCCCCGGCGTTACCTTCCTCCGCCGAGGCTCGGGGGCGGCTCGACGACCGCCGCAGCGCCCTGCCAACCCCAACTGCGCCGCGGCCCCAACTCAACGCCGACATGCCGCCCTGCGCCACCACGCGCCGCCCGCCGGAAGTTGTAGTCCCGTGACGACGGGGGCTGAGAAGGGTCTCCAGTCGGAAATGCGTATCCGGAACCACAAGTCCCAGGGTGCAGCGGAGTCGGAGAGAAGAGGGCATGCGCCAGAGTAGCCTTCTGATTGGATATACTTGCTCCAGAGAAGCCCTCTGATTGGATCTCCTGCTGCGCTCCGGGAGGGGCCAGCAGTCCTAGCAGTGTCTTAGGCGGTCTTCGAGGGAAAGGATCCCGGAGTTTTTTTATATTAGTTTTTTTTTGGGGGGGGGCGGGTACTGGGGGTTGAACTCAGGGGCATTCCACCACTAAGTCACGTCCCCAGCCCTGTTTTGTATTTTATTTAGAGCTAGGGTCTCACTGAGTTGCTTAGCACCTTGCCAATTGCTGAGGCTGGCTTTGAACTGGTGATCTTCCTGCCTCAGCCTCCCAGCCGCTGGGATTAAGGGCGTGCACCACCGCGCCCGGGTATTTATTTATTTTTTCAGTACTGCATATTGAACCCAGTAGTTCTCCATCATTGAGCTACATCCCCATCCCCACCCGTTTCCATTTCTTATTTTAAGACAGCTCTCTCTCTCTCTCTCTCTCTCTCTCTCTCTCTCTCTCTCTCTCTCTCTCTCTCTCATGTTTATTTAGTTGTAGATGAGCACACAGTATCTTTTTATTTATTTTTATGTGGTGCTGAGGATTGAACCTAGTGCCTCACACATAGGAGGCAAGCACGTTACCACTGAGCTACAGCCTCAGCCCCAAGACAGGTCTCTAAAATTGCCCAGACTGCCCACGGATTTGTGATCCTCCAGAGTCCGTGGAACCACAAGCTTGCGTACCGCAGCCTGGCTTTTTTTTTTTTCCTTTTTGCATGTTTAATAAATAATGAGGACAGTATTCTACAATTTATAGATGCCTGTCCATCTGCATTTATTCAGTGAGGACTTTGGGGCGCCATTATTAGTATCCCCAGTATTTATTTTCTTTTCTTTTTTTTAAAGAGAGAGAGAATTTTTAATATTTATTTTTTAGTTCTCGGCGGACACAACATCTTTGTATGTGGTGCTGAGGATCGGACCCCGGCCGCACGCATGCCAGGCAAGCGGGCTACCGCTTGAGCCACATCCCCAGCCCTCCCCAGTTTATTTTTGTGGAAGCTGAGGTTCTCAGAGGTTGATCAGGTGGCTCTAGGACGCATAGCATGAACATTAGGGAGATTGAAAGGAAAGTCCACATCTATCAGACTCCCAGTTGGAAAGCTGAGGGGCAGCTTGGGCATCGTGTTTCCTGGATATTTCCTTTATTTAATTTTTAGTTGTAGTTGAACACAGTACTTTTATTTTATTTATTTATTTTCATGTGCTGAGGATTGAACCCAGGGCCTCATGCGTGCTAGGCAGGCGCTCTACCCCTGAGCCACAACCCCAGCCCTCTTGGATATTTTCAAACTCATGTGTTCCCTCCAGCCTCAGTTGACCCTCTAGTCCCCAAGCCCCCAAAGACGGGAGCAGACTGGGTGTGGTGGCACATAGTTAGGAGGCTGAGGCAGGGGGATTGCACTGGAAATACCAAGCCCAGAAGTAGGTGGCCAAGGCAAACCTCACTTTTGCCAGAAGCGGGTGCTACCCAGTGCACCTGGGTGGGTAGGCTGCCTGCTGTGTCCCTAACTGAGCAGTCCCCCTGGTCCTGATAGGAGGAACTGGGGTTTACAATCTACACAATGGCCTAATTTGAAAATTGGGGAGTACAAATGGAAGGGCTGTAGTTAAAATAACTACAAGTGGATCTTACATCCCAGTTAAGGCTAAATACCGTATTATGAAAATGGCCCACAAAACTTCCTCACTATTTCTCACAATTGCAAGTTCAAGGCCAGTCTGAGCAACCTAGGGAGGCTCTAAACAGCTTAGACCCTTTCTCAAAATAAAAGTAACACAGACTGGGAATGTACTCAGTGGTGAGGCACCCCTGGGCCGCGTGCCAGGTCCAGGAAAGAGTGGAGCAGGAAGGATGGATTAAAGGAGATGCCTTGTGGAGCCTGGGTTCAGCCCCAGCCTCTCCAGGTGATCCTCTCAGGCTAGGAAGGGCCAAAGCTTTTGTCCAGTTGGGGAAACTGAGGCCCAGAAAGCGGAGCCTGCAACAGGGTCCCGCTAGCTGTGGAGACTAGGGAAACCAGGTTCCAGGCTGCTGTCCACAGGGCCCTGAGACAGGAGCCTGCTGAGGTGGGAGGAGCAGAGCAGAGTGACATTAAAGGCAGCCCCGGACGGAGGAGGCTCAATCTGTGTGGCCTGTAAGACACCAAAAAGAACAAAGAAAAAGGTGAGACTCCAGGGCTGAAGGAGGTGACAACCCTGAGACACTAGCAAGGCCAGCCTCCAGAGGCCCCTCCTGCTGCCTGGAGCTTGGCTTCCCCACAGCCGGGGCAAGGCTGTCCCTGGCTGGAAGGGCGGGCCCCGTGAGGCTGGCAGCCTCTGGAGGCCACATTCCAGCCACCCTGCCCACGCAGGCCTGGCCACAATGACACCACGAGTGGGGAATGTTTTCTGCAGACAGCAGCATCCTCCCTGACCCATCCCGGCTCACCAGGGTGCCCAGGGCTGTGACCTCAGACCCTGCCTACTCCTGGGGTCACCTTCCTGACGCCCCAGGGTGGCTGAGTCAGCAGGACCTGTTCCCCTAGACCAGGGACACCTTGCATCCTACAGTCTGGCAGAGCCAGGGACCTGGGTGGAAGACAAGATTTCCAAGTTCTTTTTTTATTTTATTTTATTTTTATTTTTCAATGTAGTCGGACACAACACCTTAATTTTATTTATTTTATCTTTATATGCGCTGAGGATCGAACCCAGGGCCTTGCACGTGCTAGGTGAGTGCTCTACGGTGGAGCCCCCACCCAGCCCCAAGGTTTCCAAGTTCTTTCTCCCTTCCTAATGCCTCAGATTCCTCTTTGATTGTATGGGACACCAGACTCTCAAGGCAGCATGACCCTGGGAACAGGCTCCTGGGTCCCAGCAGTCCCTGCACAGAGCTCCTGGTAACATGCTCAGGAAACTCCCTCAGGGCCCACCTGTGTGTGACACAGCTCCCACTGGGCTCCTCTGGCCTGCAAGGCCCGCGTTGTTCCTCTCAGGGTGTTTCTTTATGATTGATTGTGAGGGTGTCTGTAGAGGGCAATGGATTTCCACTTCTTGGTGGTATCAAGCTTCCTTGTAAAAAATTAAGCAAGAAAAATGCTAAAGACACAAAGACTAGTGGAGACAGATGCAGTGACACAGGGAACACAGCATGGGGCCAAGTGTGGGGTGTTCTGTGACACATCAGAGGTGTCCACATGGGGAAGACAAAGACCCGGCATTGCCCGCCAGGTCACGTGTGTTTGTGAGGCATGCACACCTGAGGATCAGTGTACACGTCCAGCCCACAGGTCAATCTGTTTTCTCAGACGGAAAACCTGGTGTTCTGGAGGACAGTAACAGGACAGGATACTGCTAGGGTCAGCCCCAAAGCCCTCTTGTGCAGTATCCTGTCATTCCTAATCTAAGGGGCAGTATCCTGTACTCATTCCTCAAACCACCTGCTGTTCTGCCTGTCCTGGAAGGTCACATTGGTGGGCTCCTGCACATCTGGCTGCTTTAACTCAGCATTGTTTGAGATTGACACCTGCTGTGTACTTTTTTTTGTGTGCGTGTGGCTGTGTAGTGTTCCACAGTGTGAATTTATGAGGATGTCTTTCACATTCTCCTGCTGATAGAGAGCAGAAGGAATATATAGAACAGAGGAATTCAGAAGTACAGTTTGCACATATTAATTGTACTAATCTCACAACTTTTCTGTAAGCTTAAAGTCTTTCAAAAATTCACAATGGAGCTGGGCACACTTACAATCCCAGCAGCCCAGGAGGCTGAGGCAGGAGTATCTTGGGTTCAAAGCCAGCCTCAGCAACGGCAAGGCACTGAGCAATTCAGTGAGATCCTGTCTCTAAATAAAATACAAAACAGGGCTGTAGATGTGGCTCAGTGGTTGAGTGTCCCTGAGTTCAATACCCAGTATTCCTCTTGGAAAGAAAGAAAGAGAGAGAGAGAGAAAGGAAGGAAGGAAGGAAGGAAGGAACAAACTAACTAACATAAAATGGAGCTGAGAGCAGTGGCATGCAGTGGCTTAGGAGGCTGAGGCAAGACCCTGTCTCTGATTAAAGTATAAAAAAGAACTGGCGATGTGGGTCAGTGGTTAAGTGCTTCTGGGTTCAATCCCTGGTACCAAAACAAAACAAAGCCACACAGTATGTAACTCCATTAACAGAAAATGTCCAGGACAGGAGAGTCCAGAGACAGGAGGGGGACTCCAGGTGGATGGGCATCGGATTCCTCTGTGGGGTGGTGGAATGTTCTTGAATTAGTGGGTATGGTTGCACAACTGCGAGTGCGCTACTAATGCTGAATTGTGCACTTCCCGTGGGCGATTTGTATGGCATGCAGAATACATTCAGTCAAGCTGCTATTAGACCACGTAAGTCAGACTCCTGGGTGAAGTGGCCTCCCAGGTGAGTGGCCTCCCAGGTGAGTGGCTTCCCAGATGAGCGCTGGTCCTGCGGAGGGGCCTCAGGACACCCTGGTGGGGGCAGGACATCCTGGGGAGGAAAGGGAAGCTTCTTTATTCAGCATGGAGTGCTGCATCCTCTGCCACCAGTGGAATCACCTGCTGGTTCTTTCAGATGTCCCTTGCTGGCCATTTTTCAGGGGAGCCAGGTGGGGTGAGGTGACAACCCCAGGTCATGCAGGTCTGGTGTCAGGATTTGAATGTGGGGAGCAGGGCCAGGCTGCATCTAGCGTGGAGGCACCTGGCCCTACCCACCCTGGGGCTGGAGACCCGGCTGGCCCCACCCACTGCTGACCCGCCCAGGGCAGGAAGAGTCGGGGAACCCCCGAGCCGCCAGACCGGTCTCCCGTCCAGAGGGCTCCCCAAAGGGCGGCTGCTCACAGGTCTCCACCTTAGAGCTATTTTAAGGTGCCGCCTGGGGTCAGGAGGAAAGCCAGGGGTGTTGGGAGCAGTGGGCAGAACTGGGATCTGGGCATGTGCTCCTGAGGGCTGCGGGGAGGTCGCTGCGCTGGGGGCCTGTCCCGGGCACCTCTTGGCTCTGAGCCTGTGGAGCCACTGTGCGCACCTCGGAGCCCCGGGTACGGGCGGGCTGATGAGGGTGGGTACTGGCTGGCCAGCTGGGGCGGCCTGCGTGGGGCTCGGGTGTGGCCATAAGCGGGAGCCCGCGTGGGTGAGCAGCCGCCCATTCCTGCCACCTCAGACGTGCCGCCACAACATCTCGGCTGACCACGGACTGGCCCGCTTGTCCCAACTCCTGGGGCTGCTGCCCACCTGCAGCCCTCCCTCCCTATCCCTCAGAGAAGCCCCTGCTGCCCCTTTCAGGAAGCTGGAGAGAAGAGTCCACCTGGGGTGCCCCTCTGACTCGGTCTCTGCCCGCGCACCTCCCGGTCTCTGCCTGTCCCTGTCGCTGTTTCTTAGTCTGTCCTTGACTGTGTCTCTCAGAACTGTCTCTCAGCCTCTGTCTCTCCCTGAGCTCTGTCTCTGGTCGCTTGGGTCTCTGTACCCGCCTCGCACCCTGGAGATAAACGCAGGCACCTGAGGCCGCGAGTCGTGGGCGGGGCCTGCCCTCCCCCAGGCGCCCATTGGCTGACTGCCGGGCTGTGCCCGCCCAGAGGCAGACATTGGCCCCGCCTCTCGACTGCCATTGGCCAACGCGAGTCCCGCCCCCGTCCCCCTGCGAAGCCAGGTCGAGCTGCGGACTCCAGAGACTAGAGCCGGCGGTGAGCGGAGTGGGCCATGCGCCGCCGCCTCTGGCTTGGCCTGGCCTGGCTGCTGCTGGCGCGTGCGCCCAGTGCTGCGGGGACTCCGAGCGCGCCCAGGAGGCCGCGCAGCTACCCGCACCTGGAAGGCGACGTGCGCTGGAGGCGCCTATTCTCCTCCACCCAATTCTTCTTACGCGTGGACCCCGGCGGCCGGGTGCTGGGCACCCGCTGGCGCCACGGCCAGGACAGTAAGTGCGCTGGGGCAGCAGGCCGGAGAGGGCAGCGGGGGCACAGTATTGACAAAGGGTGCGCTGACCAAGTCATTCCCTAGCTCGGGCCTGTTTCCTCTGCCCTAAGGTGGGTGCAACCCACTGGGTAAGAGGGAGGGTGGGGCACTCAAGGCTCCTGGCTTCCTGCAGACAAGGGTCTGAAGGGTATAGTTCTGAGAGGGGGTCGCCAGAGTACAGGAAGGAAATGGGCAGCAGGGAGGGTTGCAGTGGTCCAGCTGGGTCAGGGGGTGGACACTCAACTCTGGGCTCCTGACACTGAAGTCAGTACCTATGTTGATGAGATTCTTGTGACAGGTGAAAGAACCCAGGCACAGAGAGGGAAGCAAGCTACAGAGGGTCCCACCAAGCAGGGGAGGTGGAGCTGAGGCTCACAGTGACAGGAAGCCCCACTGTCTCTGCTTTTGGGCTGTGGCCTCTGGGTCCTGCTCAGCAAATGTGAAATATGTACGGCAGGAGGAGAGGCCAGGCATAGAAGAGACTGGGCACCGGGAGACCAGGGGTCACTTCACACAGCCGCCCGGTCTGGGCAGGGGGCAAGCTGGTCACTGGCACCTGAATCACCACATCAGGATACATAATCACCCCTGCCCTTCACCGAGGCTTTCATCTGGGGCTCCAAGGCCCTGAGGCAGCACGCGGGGAGGGCAATGACAGGGGACTGGCCAGGCAGGTCCATCCATGGTAGCATGGCCAGGCGGGGTGGCCTCAGGCTGGCGGAGAGAGCTGGCTCTGCCAGGCGACCTGGAGTGGGCACTGCTTCCCTTGAGCTTCTGCCCCATCTGGACAGGGGTGGAGTGATGGAGGACAGGTGGCTCTGTGAACGGGCTCTTCTTCCTGAATTGGAGGTTACTGATGGCACCGCAGTGCACTGTGGCATGTGGGTCCCTGCCCTCACAGCGGGCCATGCGGGTCAGGAAGGGGTCTGGCGGCCTCTCTGGGAAGGTGGTGAGCCTTGGATGGTGACCAGGAGCTGACCGTGCACATGGGCTGTGCAGCTGGCCCTGGAGGGTGAGTGGCGTGGCAGTGGAGGTGGTACTGCCACCTCACAGGCTTTGGCCTCCATGTCCAGAACAACAGCTGGAGGGCAGCGCCTGGAGTCGGCCCTTGGTGCCATGCCCAGGCACAGTGGGAGGGTCCTCGCTGTGCCTCTACTGGACGGGGCTGCACTCATGGTGCAGGCCCTGTCCAGTGACCCACTGACAGGCCGCTGTGGTGGCCCCTCTGGGGAGTCAGTGCAGGCAGCACCTCCGGCCAGGGCTGCCAGGGCAGCAGTGGGCTCCCTGGAACAGGGCAGGAAGTGCGCCTGCGGAGAGGGAGCCAGGCCTCTGTGGCTCTACGGGGCTGCCCGATCGCAAGCTGCTGCAAGCACATAGGAGCTGCTGCAAGACCCAAGGAGTCCTGGGCGGCTCAAGCCGAGCCTGCTTCCCAGACTTGTGCCTGACCTGAAGGACAGGGACAGGGATGCCCGGCTCCTGAGCAGCCCGCCTGGGCAGGCGCACAGTAGGGGTGCAGATGAGGGGAGGATGAGGCAGGGCCTACGTGGAGAGATGGTTAGTCAGAGTGGAAGCTGTTGGTGGCCCTGACCAGCCCCTCTGCGCAGGTGTTGTGGAGATCCGCTCTGTCCACGTGGGCACCGTGGCCATCAAGGCTGTGCATTCAGGCTTCTACGTGGCTATGAGCCGTCAGGGCCACCTCTATGGGTCGGTGAGTACCGGGTGGTGGTGGGCAGGGGTGGGCAGAGGGCAGTGTCAGCTGGCCTCACGCACCGCCCTCAGCGGGTCTGCCGGGTCGACTGCAGGTTCCTGGAGCGCATCGAGGAGAACGGCTACAACACCTACGCCTCACTCCGCTGGCGCCACCGGGGCCGGCCCATGTTCCTGGCACTGGACGGACGGGGGGCTCCCCGGCAAGGCATGCGCACACGGCGGCATCACCTGTCCACCCACTTCCTGCCCGTCCTGGTCTCCTGAAGCCCTTTGAGGTCTCAAGGGCCTGCTGACAGACCTGGAGGCTGGGGCAGGAAGGAGGGCCCCCAGGACACCTGAGACAGGTGGCAGGGGCCAGGCTGCAGGGCGTTCGGCTCACTCATCCTGAGCTCTAACTGGGTGCCTACTGGGGGGCCTCACTGGATCCCCCAGGGTGGGGGAGGCAGATGGCAAGCTGGGTCCACGGCCCAGCACGAGGAGGAACACGTCCAGGATGAAGGCACGCCCAGGCCAGGCTGAGGAGGAGTGCCCGGATGGGAGCTGGCAAGGGCAAAGGCTGAGGGGTGCACGGGGCAGCTGTGGGCAGCAAGGAGGGGCAGGCCTGCAGGGCCCAGCGCAGTGTGCGTGGGATGTTCACCCTGCCACCAGGCGGCCGTGCTGCCAGAACAGCAGCCCAGACGTCCGTGCTGCCAGAACAGCAGCCCAGACGTCCAGGCCTCACCCCCAGGGCCTGTGGACATGGCACTTCCCAGGGCAAGGGGCTCTGGGGGGGATCAGGGGAGGAGACCCCCGAGTGGGGCCACCCAGGGGTCCTCCTGAGAAGAGGCAGGAGGGCCAAAGTCAGAAGCCCTGGAAGAGGCTGCGCGGCTGGCTCTGGGCTGGAGGAGGGGAGGGGGACTGTCCCTGGGCCTCAGGGGGATCTAGTCCTGCCACGCCTGGGTTCAGCCGGGGCAGCCCACATTGGCTGCCACCCAGAACTGTTTGACAATAAACCTCTCAGCCTATCAGATGCTGTCGTGTGTCACAGCAGCAGGACACACACAGATGCCATCATCCCAGCCTCCTGCCTCTTGGGATGGCTACCAAGGGACTTTGGATCTTCGCCCTCCACTGATGGGCCCTGGGGACGGCACTGCCAGCAGCCAGTCCTCACTGTGTTCCTCCTGGCTGGGCATGGGACCAGAACTGCCTACACAGGTGGCAGCTTCAGCTACCAGAGGCGACAGCATTCAGAAGCTAAGCCTCGGGTCCCCACAGGCTGCGCAACTCAAAGCTCCCAGGAGCGAGCCCAGCTGCGGAGCTGCCCCCCACCAGGGCAGATGGCGGCCTCCCAGGTAGGGGCTGACTGTGGGCTGCTTCTGCCCGCCTCCCTTCTCCGCTCTGCCACGGCATCCACCAGGTCAGGCCACTGTGGTGTCCTTCCAGTCACAGAAGCCCACAAAACACGCAGCAGGCGTGGGGCAGGCGAAACCCTCGACTGTCCCCACTCCCTGGTACTGGGGCCTCGGGGTCATGGGACTCCAGGGCACCCCACCACCTGGGCAGCAGAGGCTGCTCTACAGGCCACACTGGCTGCCCAGTGCCATGGATGGTCCCGAGGACGCACACCTGAGGGCTGGGAACAGAGGCCCTGCCTGGCTTCCTGGAGCACTGGTTCCAGTTACACAGTTCTGCCACCAAATGCCACTTGGCCTTTCTGGACCACTCCACTCGATGTCCATGGCCTGCTCTGTGGTCAGAAGGCGTGCAGCCCCTGGGCTCCCGGGGGAGGCACGGCCCCACAGGACGGCACCCTCGCCCTGCCAGCCGCTCAGGCCCTCTGGACACATAGGCGCGAAGGAAAACGCCGAGCCACCGGCTCCTCTTTCAAGTAGGTCCCTTTTTTTTTTTTTTTTTTTTTTTTTTTTTTTTTTTTTTTTTTTTTTTTTTTTTAGAGAATTTTAACATTTATTTATTTTTTCTTAGTTCTTGGCAGACACAACATCTTTGTTGGTATGTGGTGCTGCTGAGGATCGAACCCGGGCCGCACGCATGCTAGGCGAGCGCGCTACCGCTTGAGCCACATCCCCAGCCCCCTCAAGTAGGTGTATTTTAAATAGCTTTCAAGATACACATATTTTTTCCCTTTAAAAAATGTCTGTTAGAGCAGTTTTGTTCCTGGTTCTGCTGGTCACCCTTGTGGTCCCGAGGCCGGCGCTCGCTGTGCGGTCCGAGGCCCCGTGGCCCGTCCAGGTGGCACACGCGGCCCTGGCGGAGCAGCTGCACAGATCATGCGTGGCCGCGCGAGAGCTAAAACGTCCATTTATTTCAAAGCAGTAATAATTTAAAATCATAAAAACCTTTCCACCGTTGAACGTTTGGAGGGTGAGGTTAGAGATGGGACAGAAGGCTGGTGCCCTGCAGGGGACATGTGGCCCATACCCCTCCGTGCAGGGAGCAGCTGGGCACGGATGTCCTTCCAGGGCTGCGTGGCCGGGGCTGGCTGAGCTCTGGTCCCCTGGAGAGCCGGGTCCCCGAGCCTGGCGCGCAGCCTGGGGCCCGCCGGAGCTGCGCAGCGGCCTGGGAGCTGGAGCTGGCGCCAGCTCAGGAGTTGCTCGTGGCGTTCTCGTTGCTGGGCGAGGAGGAGGACGAGGACGAGGAGGAGGAGGAGAAGCTCACCCCAGTCAGGCCCGGGGGGTTGGTGGCCGTGTTCTGTCCGGTGAGGCTCTTGCGGCAGACAGGGCAGCTGTCGTGCTTTGTGGGGACAGAGGTGAGGCGGGGAGTTAGAGGCTGGCGCCCCCAGGGCGGGCGCGGGCAGCGGGTGAGCTCACCTGCTCCAGCCAGGGCACGATGCAGCCGTTGTGGAACAGGTGGTTGCAGGGCAGCTGCCGCACACTCTCGCCCAGCGCGTAGTCGTCCTTGCACACGGGGCACTCAAGCCCAGAGCCTGTGGGACAGGCAGGGCCAGGTGGGTCCGGGCCCCGTGGGCCCCACCCCAGCAGGAGCACCTAGGCCCTGGGCACCAAGGCCAAGAAGAGCATACCTACGTGCTCCTCGGTGACGGGGACGGTGGGCAGGGCCTGGATCTTCTCCTTGTCTGCGGGAGGGGGGCCCGTGTTTTCAAACTGGTTGAGGAGCTGAAAGACAAGGTGAGTGCCAGGAGCTCCAAGGCCAGGCAGCCCAGGGAGCAGGCACCCCCGCCCACGGGGCAAGGCTGGAGGACCTACAAGAGCATCAGGCTGTGCCCACCACTGCCTCGACTGCCTACTGGCTGCTCAGGGTCCCATCCACTCATAGTATGGGCAGTACCCAGGCAAGAAAGAGAGAGCGGGGCCCCCAGGGGGGCAGACCTAGCACCTTGGTCCATGGGATGTCAGGTCTTAACAGGCAAGAGGCGAGATACAGGGACCTCAAGGGTGGTCTCTGCAAGGAGACCATGCCCTGCCTTCTCTGGATGAACCCCCAAGTGCTGGGTGCAGTCACCCTGTACCTGCGTGATGATGGCATCCAGGCCGTTGGCCCCCCAGGCGTAGTCCATTGGGTTGGAGTGCAGGACGCCCCTGGGGGCGAGAGGCCAGGTCAGGAGGCCAGGGGTGGGCGGGTGTGCCCCCCACCCCCTGCTACTCACCAGGGGCCCAGGCCCAAGTTGGGGATGGTGGCCGGAGTGATGATGCCGTTGACCAACTGCTGGATGATCCTGGAAGAGAGGGGGCAGGTCACACACCCATGGGAGTCGGGCCTGTGCCAGCACCCAGAAATGACCCATCAGGGCTCAGGTGGAGAAAAAAACACGAAAAGAACCCAGCACAGCCTCCTGCTGAGGTCTGGGGGAGCGAGCCGATCCATCCGCATTGCACGGTGGCCTGGGCAGCCCAGACGTGCTGTAACACAACTCCTCAAGCCGGGGCTGGCTGCAGCCCCAACCTGGCACGGTCCTGCCTCCAAAGTTCAGTGTGGGGCTCAACTCCCCTGGGGTGAGGAGAGCCAGGCTTCTGGGAGGAGGGGCTGTCAGAAGGGCCAGGCCAGCCCTGCTCCTGAAACCGTGCATCCCCCTGGACTGCAAGGCCAGACCTTCTTTCACAGGAGCCGGGCAAGAAGCCCAGGCTTTAGCAGAACACGTGCCTACGTCCAAGGGCCTGAACAACCCGTCTCGATGAGCGGGGCCCTCTCTGGCCACCCCCAGGCCCCCTCACCCTTCCAGCGTGGGGACGCCTTCGTGCCGGCCGGTGGCCCGCCTGGCGGTGAGGCGGGCTCGGGGCTGCCGGGCGCCATACCGGTGCCGGGACTGGTGTTCTCTCTCCCTCCGGCTCTCAGGGTCCCTGCTGTCATCAGCCTGTGCCCCAGGAGGGAACGTGGGGATCTCAAAGCTGTCGTCAAAGATGCCGAAAGCAAACTGTCCGTAGCCCTGGGGCAGCGTGAACAGGTGCTGGTCCACGTTCTGGAGAGGGGAGCAGGACCTGAGCCTGCGTGGTCTGCTCAGGGCCCCACACACAGAGGCAAGGAGCCCTGGGACAGACAGGCAGATGAAAGGCAGGTACGACAGTGGGGCTGTCAAATCCACCGGGGCGGCCCGAGGACCCTGCCCACAGCCTCCAGGCCATCACCCTTCCATGTCCTCAAGGAGAGGAGGAGGACAGGCCCGTGCCCCTGCACCCGCTCACTGCCCACACCTAGCCCTTGGGGGGCCTGTCTCCGGGGGGCACGCACCTCCTGCAGGTGGGCCCATCCCAGGCATAGGGGCTCCATGAGCCAGGGAGGGTCCAGCCTGCTTAGAACTCACCCCAGCAGGCAGGACACAGGCAGACAGTGACGTGTGGACACCAGACTAAGCAGATGAGGGATGCAAGAGGCAGGGGGCCAGCAGCCAAGCTGGGTGGGCCAGTGGCAGAATGACAACAGCTGAAGCCCCAGGGACCTGGAATTCCCACTCACCTCAAACGGCTGCCGGCTCTGGTCAGCGGGGGCCGTGGAGGGAGCGGAACCGTTTTCTGTATTCCTGGGGAGAGAAGGTGCTTGTTGGCAGAAGCCAGCAGCCCTTGCCATCCCTGAGGGCACACAGGATGACTGTGCCATCCTCCACGTCAGGAAGGAGGAACACAGCACCAGAGGCACTGGCACCTCCCGCTCAGGACTCCACCACGTGCTCAAGTGACAACAGTGCCCCACCACCGCCAGCAGCTCACACCAGCTCCAGCGTCAATCCGCCTTCTGTCCCACCACAGCGAACGTGGGTGTCTGTGTGGGTGCCATCCCACGAGGTGAGGGAGGCGGTGAGGTGGGCACACATACACTGACCAAGTGCCACAAGGCTATCGTCCCTTTGCCTTGAGGTGTGTGTCCTGAAAGTAGGGACCCCAGGCCTGGCAGGTGTGCAACCCCCCTCAACCTCCCAGCACACCACCACGAGCCGTGCTATGCTACCTGGTCTCTTCTGGAAGCTCCTCGATAAAACCAGACTCACACCTGGGGCAGATGTAATCCTGCAGGAGAGAGGAGCAAGAGTCGCCATGAACGCCCCCATCAGCAAACCCCCTCTGCTAGAGCAAGCGCAGGCTGCAGCCCTCAAGAGCCGCTCCTGGCCTGTGGTCATGGAGGACTGGGGGATATGGGAGGCCCAGGGATGTGTGTTCCTGCTGGCCACACACTGGCGGCAGCGAAAGACTCCCCCTATGGCCTCAGTGAGCCAAGCCACCTGTTGGATGCTCCTGGAGGCCAGGCCCAGGTTTTTCTGGTGGTCTCCTGTCCCGGAGTGACCCAGACTCGGCAGGCGTCCCAATGACAGAGGTCCTGGGGCTACAGACCCATAGTGGCACCCCAGCACTGGCAGCCAGGTGGGCAGCCTGCTGCACTGGGGGCATAGATGGTGCTGTGATGTCCTGGAAGGGAAGCCAAGGACCCACTCTGGGGACGGCAGGCTCTTGAGTCCCAAGACCAGGCTCATGGCCCCCTGCGACAAACCCAGCCACACTCAGACCAGGCAGGCCCATGTCAGCTAAGGTGCCCTACAGTTCAAACAGGAAGACAAGTCTGTGGGCCTGGTGGCTCCCACACCTCCCAGACTTGGCCTGCCCCAGAGCTCTCTCAGGTCACTGCAGCCCACACCGTAGCCCTGGAAATCAGGCAACCTCCTCTTCTCGGCCAAGGATCACTTGTCACTGGGGCCATGCAGCCTGTGGGCATATGTCCCATGGGGTCCCAGGCCACGGTGGCTGTACACTGTGCCTGCCACACTTTCCTATCAGACCCAAAGCCACCTCTGCAGGCTTGACCCAAGCTCCTCCCCATGACCTGTATCATCAGCCCTAGTCAAGACTGGCCAGCTGCCCCTTGACCAGAGCAGCCAAGGTCCCAGCTAGAGGCAGCTTGTGCCCAGTTCTGACACCCTCCTAGCCCTGCACTGTCCATTCTGCCACAACTGCCTCCCCCTAAGTGTCCATCTGGACACCATTCTGCAGGGGCCACCCTCACCAGCCCTGCTGCTTGGCCACTTCTGTTCCTCACAAGCCTCTGTCAGGATGACGGACCCTGGCTGTGTGCCCACTTACTCCTCCCCTGGAGGTGGGGAGAGGGACAGGCACCAATCCTGCCCAGTGAAGACATGTACAACCATGTGTCCATGCCACATCCCCTCATTCAGGTAACGCTGGTACAACACACACACACACAGAGCCCTCAGCCAGGCACCACAGGGAAGCTGGGGAAACTGAGCCAAAGATGCGAGGGCCACAGTGATGAATGCCTTTATGGGTCTCTGAGGAAGCCCACCACTCTGTTTCTCTTTTTAGGTATTATTATTATTATTATTAATTTTTAGCTGTTGATGGGCCTGTTTTATTTATATGTAGTGCTGAGAATCAAATCCAGTGCCTCACGCATGCCAGGCAAGCGCTCTACCACTGAGTTATAACCCCGGCCCACACCATTACTCTTCATGCAGGATAATAATGCAGACTTCTCAGCTGAGCATGGTGTGCATGGGGAGATGTGGACGCCCCACTCTCTCCACAGCCCCAGGGGAGCATGTGACACTCCTCCTGTCCTTTTCTTCTTAGACCTAGCAGCTGCCACCAAGACTCGCATCTGCACCATGTCCATCTCACAGCATGTGTGAACCCTGCACCAAGGACACGAGGCTCCTGGTACAGGCCAGAAGAATACCAGGAGAGCAAAACTGCTGCTCAGCACATATCTGCTGTGAGGGCTTTTGCACACCTGCAACTGCACTCAGGGCACCTGGTGGGATGGTGTCCACTGCACACAGGCCCCACAGGCACTGAAGCCCAGTGGCACCTAACTCCACCTTCCAGGATTCTCTGGCTGATCTACCACCGACAGGCACCTTGCATGTGCCACTATACAGAAGGCTCAGGGT